GACCTACTGGTTTCTATCTCGGTGACATCTGGTGCTACCTACATCTCCCACCTCCTTCGTCTCTCCTCCCACCTCTCATCTGTGTATGTTTGTACGGGGCCTGAGCATCGTCTGTGCTTGGCTCAGACCCCAACATCTCACGATTGTTTGTGTGTGGATTGATATCTGTGTGAGTCAGTCTATGTGAGTCAGTCCATTATCAGACTTCCGCTGCATACATGCTCATCCTATATTGGTTGATCTTTGCTTTCTGCCCCATACTCGTTGAAGTATTCACGAGTATGCAACAGTTTTGGTATCGGAGCAGACCAAACGATGGATCTGCTCACAAGGTAAGTCTGATTTAGGTATAGATTGTTCTTCGATCTTCCAAATCAGCTCTGTATTACTGTCGAGATTCAAAGTTGCAAAAAAAAAAAAATTCTTGTTCGGTTTTCTGTTTAAATCGGCATTTCGTTTCAATTCAGTATTCGGACTTTCACTTCGGATTTCTGTTTTAATCCGATATGCTGTTTTCGGCTTCCGATTAAGGGCGTTCTGAGTAATCCGACATTCTGTTTTAATTCGGATTTCTGATTTTCATTCGTGATTAGGTTTAAATCAGTACTCTGTGTAATTCGGCATTCTGATTTCAATTCGGTATTCCGTTTTTAAATACGGCATTCTGATTTTAATCCTGTATTTCGTTTTCTAAATCGGCATCTCCGATTTATTGCAGTATTGGAAATTAGGGTTACGGAAATTTTGGTTTTTCGATCAACTTGGGAAATTCGAACGTTTTGGAACCGTAAATCCGGAAATTCCGCGGAATCGCGGAAAATTAGGGTTGGGCTCCGAAATTTTCGCGAAATTCTTTTTCTTTCCCTGATTTGAGAAATTCCGAAAACGGACTTCGGCCTTTAAGAATCGGATTTTGTAGGCTGAAATTCCCGAAATTTTACGTTTTTCGGAAATTCGAGTGTTTTTCTTCCTAATTTTCCGGAAAAAAAAAATTGGCAAACTGTTTGTAATCGTTCCCCCAGAATCGCAACTTCCGGGTAGTTCACTATTCAACTGTGAGCTCCCGGACTAAAGATGATCTCAACGGATACCTAATCTTTATACAATTTAATGAATTATCATTATTGCAATTATTGTTTTATTGATTTTTATTCAGAATTATTAATTCGTTGTTAATCATTAATTAAAATTTATTGATTATTAATCCATTATTATTTCTTATTACGAATTTTAAGTTGTGTTGGGAAATTTATTCTTTTTCATATTTTGATTAGGTGTCTAAGTCCATCACTGGGACAGGGACTGTATGTGAATTGATTGATTGTTCTACCCCTGTTCCCACTCTCCCTACCCTCCCCGTATTCTGTAACCACCGGCACTTCTCAAGTACCACATCAGCTCAGACCGATGTCGACGGAACAGGACACCGGGGCACTGCCACGACAAAGCGCCAGGCTCGCAGTTCGTAGCCGTTCTGTGGTACCTCCACGGCCTAAGTATCAACAACAACGACTCAGCAGGCGGACGACTCCAGCAGCATCAAGTACAGCTACGGCAGTACCAGTTACCACCCGGGCTCTTCCCGCATGTCTGGTCCAAGGGGCCAATGAGCCGTTGGCTGCTTACCTTCAGCGAGTACAGGCATTTACAGATGCCGTAGCGACCGCTAAGGCACAGCAGGAGGCAGCGGAGGCAGAACGTCAGCGGCTGGCCAATGAGGCGGCAGCCCAAACTCAGCGTACTGCTGAGGCTGACGCAGCGGCACGAGACAGACGGAATGCCGCCAGCACGGAGTCCCTGATTCAAAATGAGAATCAGTGGACAACGCTACTCCAAGGCATGATCTTTGTGCCTACGGACGCGCAGGCGGATCCGACACCGGCGGAGGCAGAGAGAAGTAACCTGCCTACCCTGATGTTGAGCGTGATGAGGGGAGTAATGTCGAACAACGAACTGCTGCAGGCACACCTGCTCACGGAATGACAGCACAGACAGAAGCAGCAGCAAGACATTGCCGCTTTAACAGCTGCCGTCCGCACCGCAGCAACACAGCAGCAGCAACAGCATCAGCTGTTGAACTCCGCCCTTACATGCATCAACAGCATTGAGGCTAAAACCACAGCAGACTGACACGGCGAAACAGCTCAATGAGCACATCGACCGCGTCGTCAGTCTAATCGGCGAACTAAGTGACTTCGCCAGTCCGGCTACGATCAGCAGCACAATGGCCGCCATCAAGACGGACATCACCAAGCTGCAGTCGCAACCGGCAGCAGCTGCGAAGGTATACAAGATGCCACGTTTCAACATCGCCAAGTTCGAGGACTACAACAAGACCGACGCTTTGACATGGTGGCAAGCCTTCCTCACAGAAGCGTCCTGCCACAAGGTCCCAGCCGAAGACATGATGAAGGCAATATATCTCAAACTCATTGGACGTGCACAAGCGTGGATGATGAACCTCGCAGTCAACAAGAAGACCACTATCGCCGAGCTACACAAACACCTCACGTGGGAGGAGTTTGAACAGCTGTAGTTCTCTCGATTCATGGTCCGCAACGTTGTGAAGGCGGCGATGAAAGTGGTCTACACTTGTTCACAGGGAAGTATGCCAACTCGAGACTGGACAATCAAGTGGCAGAAGATAGTGACCACTCCAGACTTCAATTTGAGTTTTACGAATCAACGATCCAAGTTCTTCTCGCGATCGTGCTCAGGACTGCGAACCGCACTCGGCAACGAGTACAATTATGCCTCGTTCCAGGCTATTCTGGATCGTGCGAACCTGGTCATCCAAACAGACGACAAGGCCGCTAACGAGAAACAGTCCCGGTCGCACTATGTGGCAAAGCAGGGCTATCAACGACCGGCACATAACAATGTCGTGATTTCTGAAGAATCAGTTGATCTCCACGCTGCAGCAGCATCCTTGGGTGATGGAGGAACTGTCGCAGCGCTCCCGCCGAAGAGTCCCAAGAGAGTTCGAAAGAAACCGGCGACACAAGACACGACATCGACGGGAACTGGGCAGCAGCCATGGACGACATACAAGATAACCAAGGAAGTATATGACCTACGTCAACGGTACGGATATTGCCTATGGTGCAATGGTGTCACTCACTTGACCGCACAATGCCCCGAAAAGGGCAAGGCACGCGTACCCCGTCCAGCTAACTCGGGAAACTGAGTTACGCAAGGAGAGGGGCGACGTCTCTCCTCACTCCGCCGGACCCGATTGCCTTGCTAGCAACCGATGTCACTACCGGGGAGCATGCGTTAGTTACTGATTCTCGTGCTACGTACGAGGATTATGCCGCCCAGCTGGTACCACCATTAGACCAGCCGAGCCACGTGCATTTAGATTGCGTATGCGCAGCCTGTACACCGTCGGCAAGTGATCCGGTCAGCTCGCCACTGATTTTTGAGGACTCGACGGCGTGGTCAAGAGTTGAGGAGCTTGACCCGCTCACGAGAGAGGACTTCGCTTGGATGCCTCGACCCTCAACCGGAACCTTGCCAAGGCCGCATTGCAACGCCTTGATGGCAAATCTACGCTCCTATTTGCACGCTACAGTACCAGCTCCGTTGACGTACGACGGGGTAGCGGTTGTCGATCTCCGCTCCTATCTTGCAAAGATTTACCGCGAGTACGCCACCCAAAGGTACGCCAAAACCGACGCTCCTTTGCTCTATATCTGCATTCAAATCGGAAAGGCACCCTGTCGTGCCTTGATTGATTGCGGAGCGTCTCGCAACTTTATGAGCCAAGCCTTTATGCCCCGCGCAGGCCTTGGCCCGCGAGTTCTAAGGAAGACGCAACCTACGCAAGTTACACTCGCGGCGGCCGCACGCAAAAGTCAATTGACCGATGCGACGACGGCGTCCCGGTATACTTTGCGCCACTTGCGTGCGAGCCGGTGTCTTTTGACATCCTCGACACCAAGTTCGACATCATTCTAGGCATGTCTTGGTTGCGTAGCGCCGATCATCCGGTGAACTTCCATGACCGGACCATTCACATCCGTGATCGGAACGGTGTGTTAGTCCCATGTACGGTCGCGACCCCTCACACTTCGATTGCTTGTCACGTGATTTCCGTTGCGAGAATTCGCGACGCTATAGCTCGGAATGACGTCGAGGAGATGGGCCTTGTATTCTTGCATGCTCTCCCCTCGCCGGACGGACCAGCCGCGTCACCGCCGGACCCACGTATTTCTCACCTCTTGGACAAGTATAGAGACGTCTTCGAGGCTCCCACCGGAACGGTTCCGGATCGGCCCATACGTCACGGGATCACTCTCGAGGCTGGTGCTGTCCCTCCGCGTGGATGTATTTACCGCATGAGCGAAAAGGAACTCGAGGTGCTTCGCACACAACTCGACGACCTTCTCGACAAGGGCTGGATTCGCCTTACGGTGCCCCTGTTCTCTTCGTCCGGAAGAAGAACAAAGATCTACGGTTATGCATCGATTACCGAAAACTTAACGCACAAACCGTAAAGAACGCCGGCCGTCACCCTCGGATTGATGATCTCCTTGAGCGGTTAGGCGGCGCGACGTACTTCTCGAAGTTGGACTTGAAGTCGGGCTACCACCAGATTGAAATCCAGCCTCAAGATCGGTACAAGACCACGTTCAAGACGTGGTACGGGCATTTTGAGTGGGTGGTCATGCCATTTGGCCTCGTCAATGCCCCCGCGACCTTCCAAGCAACTATGACGACTGAGTTTCGCGACTTGCGCAATCGCAGCGTCCTCATCTACCTCGATGACATCCTGGTTTATAGTAGGACATTGGACGAGCACATCGCACACCTTCGCGCTGTTTTGGATCGTTTGCGATTGTCCAAGTACAAAGCGAACCTCGACAAGTGCGAGTTCGCCAAGCAGGAGCTTGAGTACTTGGGTCACTTTGTCACGCCGAAAGGCATTCGTCCCTTAGCGGACAAGATCCAAGCCATCGTGGATTGGTCGGAACCCCGTTGCACGACGGATGTACGCTCTTTCATGGGTTTGGCTGGATATTATCAGCGATTCGTCGAGTCATACTCGAAAGTGGCCGCTCCTTTGTCGAGACTTCAGTCCCCGAAGGTGCCCTTCGAGTTCGCCGACGCAGCCCGTAGCGCGTTCACTACGTTGAAGGCAGCGATGCAAGCCGCACCTACCCTCCGCATATATGACCCCACCCTTCCCACCCAAGTGACTACGGACGCTTCGGGATACGGGATTGGTGCGGTGTTGGAACAGTGTCACGAGGACGGTTGGCATCCGATCGAGTACTTCTCCCAAAAGGTGCCTCTCGTCAACACTCTCGACGACGCTAGGAAGAAAGAGCGTTCGTCACCGTTCTGAAACGGTGGCGCCACTGTCTTCTCGGTCGTCGGCATCTTAAATGGAATACGGACAACAATCCATTGACCTTTTCTAAAACGCAGGATACGGTCACTAGCACGATCGGTCGATGGATGTATTACATCGACCAGTTCAACTATGGCCCGTGCCACATTCCCGGTCCCGCCAATCGAGTTGCGGACGCCCTCTCACGACGGCCCGATTTTTGTGCCATTGTGACCACGGCATTCGACCTCGATGACGATCTGCAGCCGCATTTCGTCAAAGGCTACAAGTCCGATCCGACTTACTCTACGCTTTACTCGGAGCTTTCATCGGATCACCCGTCGGCTAGCCACTATCGAATTTCCGAAGGGTTCCTTCTCCTTCACACGAGAGGAAAGGACTTGTTAGTTGTGCCCCAAGATCGCATCTTACGGACTCGTCTTCTCGGCGAATTCCACGACGCACGACTTTCGACACACCTTGGCGTGAACCGCACATTTGCACGCCTCCGCCAGCATTTTCACCTACCCGACGTCCTTCATGACGTCACAAGGTACATTGAGTCATGTGCAGTTTGCCACTGTAACAAGGGTCGATCTCGAGTCCCCTTCGGCGAACTGAAACCGTTGCCGATTCCTCTAGCACCGCGCCTCTCCCCTTCGGCGAACTGAAACCGTTGCCGATTCCTCTGGCACCGCGCCTCTCCATTGCTACGGACGTGACAGGCCAGTTCCCCCGCGATCGCCTCGGCCATGACGATATTCTCACGGTTGTTGACCGTTTGAGCAAGTATGCTCGCTTTCTTCCGTGCAAGTATCATGCTGCAGCACCTAAGCTCGCACGACTCTTGCACACCGGTTGGATTACCAACCAGGGTGTTCCGGAAGACATAGTGAGTGACCAAGATACTCGCTTCATGTCAGCCTTCTGGACTTCCCTTATGGCTGAGTTCGGCACGACAATGAAGCCGAGCTCGGCTTGACACCCGCAAACGGATGGCCAAACGGAGCGAGCACACCAGACCGCTCAGATGATGTTGCGTACGCTCATCCGTCCCGACCAGAAAGATTGTGTTGACCAGCTTTCTGACATTGGCTTCGCCTATGCACCCGGCGATCTGCGTCACACCATTCGAGCTTCATCATGGTGGAGAGAAAGCACGGATCTTCGCTGATCTCCTTCTGCCACAGGCCGCCGACATAGACGTCCCTTGCTCTCCTGCTTCCGTTCGGAGGTACCGGGACTTGCTGATCAAAGCCCGCGCGAATATGCAAAAGGCTCAGATCCGCATGCAGCAGCAGGCTAACCGATGTCGACTTCTATGTCCTTCCGCAAGGGAGACCTTGTTTGGGTCCTCTCCGAGGAATTTGAGCTCGAGCAGGACGTTTCGCGCAAACTCCTTCCAAAATGGTTCGGACCATGGGAAGTCACTTTTGCCGTTGGAGACGACCCCGCAGGTCCTTCCTCTGTGGTCAACATTCCTCCGCACCTTCCAGTGCACCGGGTCTTCCACACGTCGAAGCTGGCCATCTACACGCCACCTTCCGCCGACGAGTTTCCCGGCCGTCGATCATCGGATCCGCCTTCTATGGACGGACATCAGGAAGTCGACCAAGTCATCACGCACCGCAAGTATGGCAACAAGCGAATGCAGTTCAAAGTCACATTCAAGCAATGTGCGCCTGATGACACTCGGTGGATCTCTAGTGCAGACTTGCAGACTTCTGCACCCCTTATCTTCGTCGACTATGAGAAGCGTCGCCTTGCTAAGGAAGCAGCTCGTCCCGCCCGACCCACCCCGGTATCGGACATACAACTCCGCCCTCGCAGGTAGCTCGGTCTTTTAAGAGGGGGAGTGTGTTACATCTTCGATGCCACACGGGTCCTCCCGGACCCGACTTAGGGCCACAGGGACACAGTAGGGCCTAAAGGCCCGGACTTGGGGTACAGCAGGCCGTGAAGGCCACGTTTTTGGACCAGACCGACGGGCAGGCCCAAACGACATT